TTTTTTTGGTCTTTTTGAGACAGGGTCTCCCTGTAGCCCCAGCTGTCCTGGAACTTGCTTTGTAGACTCACCAAGATCTGCCTGCCTCTGCCTCAAGTGCTGGGATTAAAGTCATGTGCCACCTCACCTAGCTGGTTTTCCCTTTTTAGCAGCCCAATGCTCCATTCCACAGGAAGCACTAATTCTTGCTGGGGCAAAGCCTCTTCTCAGCAGGCTCTTGATTCCCTGTCATCATGCCACTGTCAGATGAAGATACTGTCACCTTGTTCTTCACCAACTTTCTGAAGCTTAATAGACAAGTTGGGTTCTCAAATATTGCCAGCCTCCATGAATTTGTTCTAATCTGTGAAAATATCCTTACCTCCTCCCACTTGTATCTGTCTAGAACTTTTTCTGCCTCAAATTTTGTCTCCTTGACCTTTGTATTCTTTGCATTGTTTCTTTCACTTACAAAAAAATTATTTATGTGTTCAGGGGTGGGGTCTTGCAGAGGCTGAGAGAGGACTTCTAATCTCCTGGAACTAGAATTATAGGTAGTTAAGAGCTACCATATATTTGGGTGCTGGGAACTGAATTCTGGGCCTTTACAAGAGCAGTAAGTGTTCTTAACCACTGAGTCATCTCTCCAGCCCTCCCCCTCATTATTCACAATGGAGTTTTGCTGATGGTCACTGACTTAGCTCATACTTGGCTGTGATCCTCTTGGGTTCCCTGGTCTGCAGTGTCTCCAACCCTCTGAACCCCCAGTGTAAAGGCATTTAGAGCACGTTTTACTGTCTCAACCATATGTACTGTGCAATGTTAGGAGAGCTCCTCTGCTGCCCCTTGTTAGCTCTGTTCTCCAGCACTGTTCTTGTCCCTACACTAGCTTTTCTTGAAGCCTGCTTTTTCCCTTCATCTTTGAGAGGCTGGCTGTAATGTGGGAGCTAGCAGGACCTACAGAGGTGCTGACAGAAGCCTACTCAAATTCATTAACTTAGGGTACAGTGAAAATTCTGCCCAAATAAAAACAGGACAGGTACAAACTGACCCTTGGGGTGTTTTAATTAATTATGGAATCCCTCCACTAAAAGAATTTCTAAAGCTTTCAGAATACTAGCAGTAATGAATTGAACTGTGCTCCCCTCTTGAATGCTCCAGGGAATATATTGTTAAAAGATTATTTTAACTATCTGTGGCATGGGAGGGGGGTGTATGCACATATGTGCATGAGCCTGCAGAGCCTAAGATCTTCCTGGAACTGGGGTTGCAGCCAGCTGTGAGCCACCTAGTGTAGGTGCTGGGAAGTGAACTGGGGTTCTCTGGGAGAGCAGTACAGGCTTTTAACCCTTGAGCCTTATTTCCAGCCCCTTATTCACACTGCCTCCCTCCTTTAATTTATACAGTAGCCAAGTGAGTACAGTGCACAGTCACAGGTTCAGATGTGGAGAAGTAAGCAACTCATATACAGACTTCCATTTTAGAACTACAGAAGTGGGACAGAATTACCAACCACTGGGAACAGCAGAGTGAAACTGAAAAGCAGAGTTTTGAGTAAGGAAATGCCTGTCTATTTGTCCCTTTCAAATGACTGACTTGACAAATGTTGATACATCAGAAGTATGTCTAAATGATAATGCTATTTTTGAAGGCTGGATATCACAAGTATTAAATGACACAAAATAAGGTAAAAAGAACAGAGAATTTGGGGGAAGAAGGCAATGGGGACGTGAATGAACTTAAGCCTGACAGTTCTCTAACTGTGGTATGTTTACTCATACAATGAGCAAGTGAAATGAAAATGGAGAAAACGAGTTCTGCAGAAGACCCAGTGAGCATAGTCCTCCTATCTCTCGACCAGCAGAGAGCATGGGGAATCATTTACCCTGCTGAGTTCCTGGCCTCCAGTCTGTAAAGACCAGATAATGACAATCTTCTGAGGAGGTGTGAAGGAAAGGGTGCCAAGCAGGGTGCCTTACATAATGAATGAGAACTATATAGTCATTTTATACCACAGGACAAAGTAAAGGTGCACGGGGGACCCAAAGCCTCAAAATAAGACAAATTACTTTTCTCTAAAAGACTAGTAGTGATTACATTACAAAAGTAAGTTAAAACAATTATTTAAAGCACTATGCTAGTAGGTTGTATCAAATAATTGGAGTCCACAGTATGAGTATATTAGCATGCAAAGTATCTGAAATGTGAAATGTTTTTGGTTATTTTGATTGTTAAAGAAGTCACATTATACTTTTTCTTTTTGAGACAGGGTCTCGTGTAGCTCAGGCTGGTCTAGAACTCACTATGTAATAGTCAAGGCTGGCTTTTACATACTCCTGATCCTCTTGCCTCTGCCTTCCAAGTGCCAGAATGACACATACCTGGACCATTATACATTTTAGTATTCCATTCCACACTTGTGGTACACATCACACATCACACAAAATTCTAGTTCTGAAATACATTTATTTTTTGATTATTAGAATTCATCTTTGTTGAAATTTTAGTCAAGTGTATATTTTAAATTAAACCCAAGGGCATAAGTATCACTCAATATGAATACATACAAGTAGTTTTCCATTCAAATTTACAAAAGCATTTATTATTAACAAAAATATAGAAGGGGTTAAGTTTTTATTTAATCCAAAGTTTTTATTTGTAAAATACCATTTATCAATATCCTACTATAGATATTTCAAGGAGTAACAGGAAAGGAGCAGTAACAGAGTCTTGTAGCCAAATCAGTTACCTGGGAGCTGGGTGACTGGGTATTTCAGAGTCCATTGTGGTTTTATTTAGCTGTCTGCAAATAAACTCACTTGTATGATAGATCTATACGTTTTATATGTGAAACACAGTAATTGTTAAAGTTCATGAAGCCACCTGTTCATCAGATGGCTACAGTGCCAAGAAAGCTCTCACCCTGCTGGTTCATGTATTTCAGAGGGACACACTATGATCTGTTTCAGAGAGCACTTCAGCAGGCTACCTGAAACATTCCAAAGGTTTTGAAAAGGGTTCTTATAACTAACAACATCTTATATTAAAAGAGTACAACATTCTGAGACACCAGCTTCTAAGGCCAACTCCTCATTCTGAGGCCTTCAGAAAAGGCCCCTAAGTCACAGGCACAGTGGGGTACATGTCACTGAGTTCTAAGCACTGCCTTGACAACTCTGAAGTAACCATTTAATTCACTCCACAGTGAAGAAAGTCATTTGTCCTCTTTTTTGGTAGTGTTAGCTTTAATTTGAAAAATGACATGTGTGCTATTAACATTGAGCAGATCAAAAGGAAACTCTTTAACCCACTTTTATCTACACTGTGTTATAATGGGCATTTCATATACTGTCTAATTCAAAGGCAGATACTGAAAAAGGAAAAGACAGTCTAAGGAACTATGAAATATGGCAATTATTTCACAGTTACATGTCAGTATACTAAAAAATGGTGGCAATGCAAAAAAGTAAATTAAACACAATCATACGCTAATCTGGAGTTCTCTTTAGCATCATTCATGGTTTCACTAGAATTTCATATTTAAGTTCTTAAAGAATTAAAGATAAGGCCGGGCGTGGTGGCGCACGCCTTTAATCCCAGCACTTGGGAAGCAGAGGCAGGTGGATCTCTGTGAGTTAAAGGCCAGCCTGGTCTACATAGTGAGTTCCAGGACAGCTGGGGCTACAGGGAGACCCTGTCTCAAAAAGACCCCTCCCCCCCAAAAAAAAAGATCACAAAAGAAAAAAATGTGACCTTTGAAAGTTTTAGAACTGATTAAATTAATAAATTATTTAGTATTACTTGTGGCTTATTTTCAGACTAACCTATATTTATGGTTAGGTGTAAAATATAGAAATGCAAAGTAAAAATTTAAATGTGTAACAAAGACCAGTTCTTATAAAAAAAAAGGATAAAATCAAGAACATAAAATTATACTACAAATATTAAGGGAACTACAACCATCATTAGAGATTATATATTTCTTTATCAACATTTAGTGAATATAAAAAAAAACTGTTATAAAATGAATGACTTTTCTGCTAATTAAAAAAAAGACCATTAAGATTATCTGCCACAAAATAGACTTTGTGCAAAAATTAAAGGGCTTGTATTTCAAGAGAGTAGAAAAGATGAATCACAGCAGGTGTCCACTGCTAATTATCCTTGGTTAGGAGTTAAGTTTTTTCCCAGCTCTCATCCCACTGCCAGCAATGGGACTGGTAACAACTGATTATGTAAAAACAAACATTTTATATTACGTTGTGATAGACAATACCAGACTATGTCAATATTGTGAAAAGAAAACATTCACTCTTGACTATATAACAAAGACATACGCAGTGAGTTCTACATTCCTAACATAAATCTGGACAAGAAAATGAAGACGGTACAAAGGGAAAGCTTAAAAAAGTACAAGAGAAGTACATGGAGCATTTTTATATTGTAGTAAGAATAATGGAAAATGAAGTCATAGCACATTTCTCAAGAATTATATATATTTTGAAGTCCAGTGAAAACCACGAATGTTGAAAATGGTTATTTAGACCTTAAAAATAAAACCACTGATGGATAATCAGTTTTAACAGAGTTCATGAAATTATGTCTCTCTGAAAACCTACTGTCCCAACTCACAAAATTTACAAACATTACTTACATTTTAGGTCATTTCTTTAAAAAAATGTTTGTACATGGTACTGACAGAGCTCTTGATAAAGTGCTATATAAACCAAAGGCCACAGAAATGTTTAAGCAGTAATCTTAAAATATGATACAAAAATGTATAAACAGAAGGATGCTTTAGAGTTGCAAAGCATTATAAAATCCATTACTTGGATTAGGACCAAAGATAATCTTTGGTACATTTAAAAAACTGGTTACTGTAATCTCAGAAGTTCAAAGTTGGGTTCTCGGTCAGCAGCAAAAGGAGTGAGATGTGCAGACACACTTCATAGGCCTCCTGGGTGGCTGCAAACATGCTGCGTGCACCTTGGGATGTGGCTGACTCTAAGACAGCACAAGCTCACCATGCTTACAGTGGCCACACAAAGACTCTGCAAGAACTCTCACTAGGGAGAAGCTTCAGCACTAAAACATCCATATTCCTCTTTTACCTATGCTGTTAGAGAAAAAACTGCTTTTAAAAGGTACTATAAACAATGTAAATTCTGGTGGGAAAGCAGTGTAAAAATTAGGTGTGGTATTTTGGGCACATAGCACATTTTAAGTCCAAGCTCATTTTGCAAAATGTCTGGAATTTCTCATTTGAGAAGAGAAACGCGATGTAAAATGATTTTATGAGTGAATTAGAATCTACATATCCTTAAATACCACACATACCTTCAGTTTGCTAAAACCAAGTATCTGCATGCAGACGTCCACATTCTTACAGATATTGCACAAGTAACACTGCCAATACATACAGTAGTGCAGTCTGGCAAAACTGAGAGTTTATCTTTCCAGTATTTTTTTTTTAAGTATTCAGATTGAACACTACTTTCCAGAAAAACTAGGTGACTAATTTCAGAAAAAGAAAGCTTGCTTTCCTTGGTCTATAATAGCAAAATCTGTACCATTATATTTAGGCATTTCATTTTTGTTTTTAGCGTTAAAAATTAGGCAAAACCTGTTTTTCGACATTTCTTACAGTGTTTCTTCAAAAACAGGAGAAGCTTCATCTAATGTAACAATCTAACAAGAGTCCACAGGGCAGTAATTTTTCCACCAGAGGTCTCACTCTACATTCTGAGAAGCGTTACAGAGCATCATTTGAATCTGTCAGCTTTCAAAGAGCCTAATATTAAGTGCAAAGTCTGCTAAAACACTTGTAACATACCGTGATAGCTGGATGTGTTTCTTAGAGAACTGCACAATGTAACTCAGCTTTTTTTCCTCCCTAAAACACTTTAGGGTATGCTACAGCTGCTAAAAGGATTTCTGTTTCTCTTGGTCCTTTGTTTGTTAGGTCTAAGATTGATGACGTCTCCACCATTAAGGGTACTTGAATTCTGACCCAAGTGACTTCCACCCGACGTATTAAAGACACCTGTACAAATTGGGGAAAAACAGAGAATGCTCGGATACACCTTAAAGTTACCTTATACAGATTATTAGTAAAAGTAGAATATTTTCAAACAGCTGCAGTTGTTTTTTTTATTGTAGTGAAACAGAAACAGTTTACTATCTTAACCATTTTAAGTATTTAGATTTATTAAATTCACATTGTTTGCAACCACTACTACTACCCACCTCCATTAACTCTTTGTACCTTGAAGCTAAAACACCACCATAAAGCAGTCTACAGGTAAAATGGCATGTAAATAAGAGCTAAACTAAAA